GAATTTGCTAGGCCATTATCACATAGCTAAAAGAATTGCCAGAGATGAGGGCGTGTGTGCGCACAAAAAAACAGTGACAGCAACCACCACCAAAAAACAGGCTTGGAAGCAAACTGGTACATAGCTCCAGGATTTAGACATAAGGTACTAGAGAAACAGCCAAGAACAGCCTGCTCAGGGCTGATCCATTGTGCAGAACACAGGAGATGCTCTTTTCTTCTGGAGTCAGCAGTAATATGTCCTGAAGAGTGGAGCTTTTCAGACTCGATCTTCATATACGGGCAGGGTTTCTGAAGGGGAGAGCCAATTCTCAGGTGAGACAAGAGCTGGTGAAAGGATTACCTGAAAGAAATTGTTTAGCATAAGCAAGAAGTATAGTTTGGAAATAGATGAGGTACCAACACAAATCTAGGCTTCTTTTTGTTCTGAATTACTTTACATTTAGCAAGTCCTATAGTGATGTGTGAGTTTAGTCCACCGTGAATGCTGGGCTCTTGGTTCTAATAACTTTTGGCACAAAATACTAAAAAATCATCCATAGATCATTTTGTATTCTTCCTACAGTTCTCATCATAAATAGGAAATGTCTGTGGCTAACCAGGTATTTTAATGCTCAGGTTCATGTCACTTTGATAACTGTTTATAAACTTTTCCCTGAAGAGAGAAGACTTAAAAATGGAAGGGAAAAAAGTAATTATTCTTCAATTGCACTAAAAATGGGACAGAGAGAATCTTGAAAACCAAGAGAGGCCCATGCCCTGGATACTTTATCATAAAGAACTTGGCTGCTGTGTACTCAAACCTCTGTGCACCTGTACAGTCTTTCTGCACCAATCAAAGGGCTCACGTGCCACCTTCGCCGCCTTGGGGTCCTGCTCTGTATGCCTGACACCTTGGACTTCCTTCTCATAAGGCTCCCGAGCCCAAGACAGTCTGAGGAAAGACTTTAATGGAGATGTGGATGGAGTTTGGACTCGGCGATGTTGTAGTCTATACATAGTGATGGAGGCCAAGGTGGAAAGAGCAGGAAGGAGAGTCAGGGGGCTGGTTCTTCCTGTTCTGACCTGTTTTTTCAAGTATTCAAGTATTTTAAATTTAAACCCGACTTCTAGATTGTTAGGAAGGCATGTTTGTCAAGCTAGTCACATAGAACATATTTGATAATTTTAGCTTGATTTATCATATTTAAATGTTTAGATATATAATAATCAAGACTCCATTTGTGCTTCATTTGTGCTTCTGCCCCCTCAAATGTTAGGATCAGGCCTGCTCTACTAGCTGTTTTAGAAAGGTAACAATTGTTCACCCAGACAGACACACATGCATATGCATACACACACATACATACACATTAGCTGCTTGTGCAACAGCAATATAGATTATAAGAAAAGTAGATTGCACAAGATGTATTAAGCCCTCATCCAAGTATTTTACCTGTGTATCTTAATTGATCATCATAGAGCTCTATAAAATAGGTAATTCAAAGCAAAGTGTCATGTAGGTACGTAGGGTAGCGAAAAGCAGTCAAACCCTGGCTTATCTGAAACCAATTGTCCATCAATACTGTGGCATATGGCAACTCAGTATGTAAGAAGTTTTGTTCAGAGTCCTAGAACCTTCACTAATTTGAAAATCTCTGGGTTAATCAACCCACTTTGACTCTCAAATCCTTTGATTCAGCATTTCTGTTCACGCAAATTTCTTCCTGAAAAGGGAAAGTAAATGCATTGACTGTCTGGCTGTGTTCAGTATTATGATTACTTAAATGATCAAAGCCAAAGATCAATATTCATTTTTTTGTATAAGAAACAAATTTAACTTAAATTTTAAAACAGATATCAGTTATAGGATTTTCTCTGCCAATTTTCAAGGGAATTACCATCTATGTCATTGGTGATGAAGGTAAATTGGCAATGAAGAGTGAATTTGTTTTTCCTTAAAGCGCTGGTTCACCCCCAAACCTCCATTACCCCACTGTCCAACTGAGTCGAGATGATTTTATCCAAACATTTTTGGTTCCATCACTTTTAATAACAAAGTACAGGGATATGGGCTAGGGCTCACTCACTCACACTTTCAGTCCTAAGTATAAGATCTATGATAGAGTCAACAATTGTTAGCTTCTCTTTTCAATTAAGATTCAGATTTAAGGTTGATGTTACAATTTAAGAAACCCTTTAGCTGTTTTCTGGATGGAAATTGATCTCTGCTTCTAAGCGTGATCATTTGAGTTATGTAAATGAATGTATGTGTAAAACACTGATTTTCTAGCTAATTGTTTTTAACTGTCATCTTGAGTTGCTCTCTTGCCTAATTTAGCTCTAGTGCAATTTACTGACCTAGGAAGAGAACTTCCTGGAATGGAAGAGTAGAAAACTTTTACTTCATTTGTTTAAAAGATTCTTCCTCCATAGTAAGAACAGTTACTACGTGGATATGATTTAACCTCTAAAAATATAAATACCGAGGAAGGAGGAGGGATTAAAGGAAAACAAAATTTTACAGAAACTGAGTGGAGAGCTTTCCTCATCTGTGTGGTCTTTAGGACAGTGTTTTCTCTTCTCTAGGTTTTAGAGAGATGGAAACAAACAAAAGAAATTTTCCAATAATATTTCAATAACAGCTATTCATGACTCGAGTTGAAGAGTAATTTATTTACCCTTTACAAGAGTTTTTAATATTACCAGTGCCTCCAAGTTGTGTCCCATCTTCTTACTACTCCAAGTAACTCCACTCTCCCTTCTCTTCATAGCAAGGAGTCCCTAAATCTCATCAACTTAAAACTTTCTTGTTTTTGCCCTTCCTTGTCCCCACTGCCACTCCTCTTGACATTTCTCAATTAGACCGTGTGTCAACCTTTTATTTGTTCTTTGTCTTCATTCTCACCTTCAAGTGAACATCTGATAATCACCTTCTCCTTGAAAACTTCTACGCAGCTACCATTCCTTCCCTATCCCCGCCCCACCAAAAAAATTCTCCCATATGGTCTGGGTTATCCCTCTCAACACATTCATCACAGTTCTTTAGATGTTTTTTTTTTTTTCACTTGACTCCCTTGTACTAGACTGAGAACTCTGCTAAAGTAGGTATCTGGTCTCTTCGTCTCTGTATCCCTCTGTAGCATCTGGATTTCTGCATACGTATGTCAGGTCTTTAATGTTTGTGGGTGACTGGATGTTACCTAAGCTAAAAACCGAGTCCAGATGCAAAAGGGTAATGCCATGATTTAAAATTCTGGAATGGAACCTAACAATGATCTAATCCATTTTCTTAAAAACAAAAAAAATTTCACCCTAATGTTCATTTTGAACTTTCTACAAATGAAAGACACTGAATTCTAGTGTAGGAAAGATTAATACTCTTTCTGGTTAGAGACAAAAATTCTAGTATTGGATAGGAACGTAACCAATATTCTCAAAAGAGAGAAAGTAATGGAACAAACGATAAGCCAAAAGCAAGTTTTCCAACAATAAAGTAAATAAACTGAGCTTCTTGGAAAACATTAAGAATAATTATTTGATTACTAGATGCAACTTACAACTACTACTTTGTTGTCCCAAACCTGGTATGAATATACTCGGTTAGTGATGTGACCCGTGCTTGAACATCAGTTGATTTTTATACTGAAAGCTGGGGTTTTATTCAGTTCTGCCCAGATCTTTGGCACCACTTGTTTCCATAGTAACAGATGCCCTAAAAATGAGAAAAACTGGAAGGCTCGGGAGGGAAATGACTAAGTGGTCCAAGCAAGGCGTTCCTCAGTGTGGGACCCAGGGTCTCTTCAAGCTTTTGGTCGGTCACATGTATTTGTGGCAGGATTCTCAGACAAGCATTTAGGGTGATAATCAGAAGGGATTTTAAAGGTAATGTATAGATACTCTACAAAAGGAGTCACTGTGTTTACTTTAGCCTGGATTCCTGTGGTGGTGCCTGTGTTGGCATATTAGCAGCCTACACTGGTTGAAAGAAACACTTGCCACTTAGAGCGCACTAACAACTAGGAATCGGAGAACCACAACTGGAGACTTTTACTGTCTGTGAAATCTAGTTGAGCTGTCCTTTCAAAACTGGAAGCTATAGAACACTGAATTCTAGCAGGTACTAACATTTGACAATGCCGAGTTTCCAGACTTAGGACTTATGGCCTAATTGTGTTCTGTTTGGCATATGTAGTGTGAAATATCCCTCTAAAAATCCAGATTTATGGCTTCTCTTTAAAAATTGTATATACACAAATACAAAATTTAGCAACACTGACCGTGTTTCCACTTTGGCTGAGTAGCAGCTGCCTCCACCATAGGCAGGTAATGGAGTCTTCACTTTGCCACAGTCCTCACCACTCCCTGCCACTCATCAGACCATTTTACATGTTTATATTACCCTCTTGGTCCTTGAAGCCTTTGAATTTGTAATCTTTGGATTAGAGGACAGGATTGCTCTACAGTTTTGGATCATTTTATCCTTATGTGTTGTTCATTTTTCTCATTTCCTGAAAATATGAGCCAGTTTACTTAATAATTTAATATAAGGCAAATGTTATTTTAGAAAAATGAATTTTTAAACTTACATCCTCGAAGAAAAAAGCTAACATTAAACTTCCTATGCTGGTATGAAGTTTGTTTAAAATGAGAGTTTAGGGATATTTGGTGGGAATATTTGCATAGTTAGGCTTCAGCAAATAACTTTTTAAATATTTTTTTGAACAATAGATGATTATGAGGAATTTCCTCTTGTGTTTCATTTGAATTAAACCAAAATGGAAAAAGAAACCACAGGTGAGAACTCAAAAGAATGTTATCATATTTCATATGATATTATCTGGAAAGTATAAAATATTCAGAATGCACATATGCCCACAGAAGTGAAGAAGAACCTTATAAATGATGAGCATTCTATAGAATGACTAGAAAAAGCTGAAAATCAATATTAGAATCACCCAGGGTAACTGAGAATAATGCTATCCCTGTACCTTACTAAAAGGTAGTAAAGAACAAATGAGATAGAAAATTCCAGAGTTGTCCCTGGCATTTTTATTTGGTTGAGCTGGAAGAGTGAGATATTTTAGGAGTGATTCACTCCCCTCCCTTTTTTCAGACCTCAATTTTATTTTAAACACAGAGCACAGCCTACCCATTGAATGCAGTGTTCTTTTCTATATCAACCAGGGTATGCAATGACTGTAGATGTCACTGTAAAACAGAAGAACTCTTGATTCTAAGTTATTCGCTTAACTAGTAAGATTTAAGTAAACAGATAATTGGATCTGCTGTCTGTTAGTATGGTATCTGCTTGCTTCTGCTTTGTCCTTTGACAGACTAGATAAAAAATAGGAAACAGATTTTACAGTGACCATTCCCAACTAGTCATTCATTCATTCAACAGGCATTCATTGTGCACTATGTTTATTTGGGGTGGTACTTCAGTACATGGAGGCACATCAGTGAACATAGCTAAAAATCCCTCTTAAGCGGGGTCAGACAGTAAACAGTAAACATAAATACATGTATAGAATGTCAGAAGATAATCTGTGCTTTGAAAAAATAGAGCGATTGATAAGGGGAATCAGAAGTGCCGAAATGGTGCCAGGAAAGGGTGAAGTTTTAAATGAGGTTAGAACATGCCTCCTTGAGAACGTGACATTTGAAAGAGTGGAGGGAACTACCTGTGTAGAACTACCCTGGAATAGATATGAGAGAGCATCACAGGCAGAGAGAACCCCGTGGAAAGGCTTCAAGGTAGAATACCTGGCTTGTTTGAGGAAGTGCAAGGAAGCCAACTTGGTTGGAACAAAGTGAATGAGGGGGACATCAAAAAGAGACAGGGTCAGGGAGGTGAGGGATAAACCCTGTGGCCTTTGAGCAAGATGGGGAACTTTTGGAGAGATTTGAGCAGAGGACAAGATTTGACATAGTTTATAAGAGCCACTTTGGCTTGTCCGTTGAGAGAGGGAAGGTGTGAAAGCAGGGAGACTGACCAGGAGGATAATACAATAATTCAGCTGAGAGATGATGATGTTTTGACCAGGCTTGTAGCAGTGAAAGTGGTGAGTAGTGACCCAGTTTTCATATATTTCGAAAATAGTGTTTCCTCAGGATTAGGTATGGGATAGGAGAGAAAGAGAGGGGTCAAAGATGACTCTAAGGTTTTTGCCTGATCAACTAGAAGAATGGAATTGCTTTCAGCTAAGAAAAGGAAGACAGGAAGGAGTAAGTTTGTAGAGGAAAAATCAGAAGTTTAGTTTTGGACATTAGATATCCCACTGGAGGTCTACTTCCAGTGGAGTTGTTGAGTATCTGTGTAATGCCAGTTGGAAGTCAGTAGGCATCTGGGTGGACACTAATAGGGCTTGCTCCATCCATACTTGTTTTCCCCTTATCTTCAGAAGTTGTAAAAAAACCTTTTTTTCCTAGCCAACTGTTAGTGTATTAATTGGACTATCTATTAGTGTAGACAAGGACACCTTATGTACAATGGGTAAAAGGGCATTGAGCCTGAGTAAGTAGCACTCAAAGTCATTTCCAAATGAATGAGATAACATAATCATAGGTGCCGAATTGGAGTCTTAGATAATTAAGCATGCAGCTGTTAAATGCATCCCATGTTGAAAAATGGGACAGAAGTAAGGCTATAATTGACCTTGTGATGAAGCAAAGGATAAAATATTCCCCAGGAGTAAATCATTTACCCATGTAATGCAATTGCATTCTTTTAGAGCACTGGTAGACCAGTTGGTAAGCCATATCTCCTCCAAGGCATTAATGGAACTCTGTTTCAAATACAGCAGGTCTTTGAATAATATCATTGTTTTGTTATAACGTTGATGAGGGAAAAAAAATAGATTTCTGTCTGGGGTCAATGTCTGTGTGGGTTTTCTCTGGATACCCTGGTTTCTTCTCACATCCCAAAGATGTGCAGGTGAGGTGAATTGGGGTGTCTAAGTTGTCCATGTCTGAGTGTGTGTGTGGGGGGGGATGGTGTGAGTGTGCCCTGTGATGGAAGGATGTCCTGCTCAGGTTTGGGTCCTTCCTCATGCTCTGAGCTGCCGTGATATGCTCCAGCCACTGGCCACCCTGCTACCCTGAACTGGAATCAGCAGGTTGGAAAATAATCCTCACTTGTTTTTATTAATCTTTCTTAAATGTTTGTATAGTTCATATTTATTTCAGTGTTTAAATTGGAAGTGTTTGGGGGTATTTATTTAGAAGTATGGTGAGGTTTTTGTGACCAGAAAATATGCCATAGGAACTTAATTCTTGTTTATATCAATTAGCCTATTATAAAATTGGTTTAATTTCCTATCATACTTAAAGTCGCAGTTTCCAAGAACCTATCGATGATGTTAAGTGAGGACTTACTGTAATGTGGTTCATGCCATGATCATTTTAAGGGACAGATACTATGAAAATAGGGAAAGTTGTAGAAAATATAATAAAAATTATATCTATTGGCATGGACAATAAAAACGATTTTAATGAGTCTAAGTCTTGCTAGAAAACCCAAACTAAAATAGTTTTCAAATGGATAAAGAAGAGTGTGTAACATGTATGCTGAGGGCAGAGAGACTAGTCTTAGTCAAATTCATATATGTGTATACAGTAACTGTTAGTGAATTTTACCTGGGTGTTGAAATATACTTGATCAGCAGGATATGAGGAATGGATGTTGGGCAAGCTGTAGTGGGATTTCACAAATAACCCAGATGGTTCCCTTGATGAGAATGTATGAATTGAGGTTGTTTAGGATAGAAAAGTTTTAAAATTGGCCATCTGCTTCCAAGAATTGTGAAGCAAGAAGGGGATCCAAAGTTGATGAGGTCATAGCAGTATTGCCTGTAGGATATTCATAATTTCTGGTGTTCCTAAAGAAATGAAGAGAAGAAATCTGGGGAAAGCTATCAGCCAGAAGAGTGGTCTTGAGTGGCTTTGAACCATCAACACAGAGCCCTTCTTTACCTCTTTGGTTGCTCTACTTGTTAAACCGGAGTGTTACAGTTTTGCTCTTCCTAGTCAGAACTTCATGGCTCACCATTCAGTTCCTCTGTATTGCGGACTCAGTGTTGTAAAACTTCAGGGAGCACTGTTCACATCTGGTCCATATGAATGGTACATGCTGGCGTGTTGTAGTCCACAGCCTGAATGGCCTCCTGCTGTAATTCTGCTTGTATTGTCATTGATTTGGCCTAAATTTTGTGAAATGGAATGTCTTGCCGTGTAATTATATGTGTTTTCTGTTCTCCTCCCTCTCCTCTGGACTGTAAGAGGCTTGAGGGAAGAAGCTAGATTTTATGTATTTTTAATAAAACATCTCATATGACACCCTTCATTCACATAGAGTTCCTCAATAAATCTTTATAAATACATCAGTGAATGATAGTGCTGGGATTTGTTGAGACTTGACTGTGTTAGACTCTGTATGAAATATTTTACCTGTTTATGTTCTTTATCCAAACAGTGACCCTAGGGGGAATACCTTGCCTTCGTTCTCCTTTGAGGATGTTGAGATGGTGAGCAGCAGGTAAATAGAGGGAACAGTGAGTGAAGACAATTCTTTCAAAAATTTTGATGTGAAGGACTGCAAGAGTTAAGAATAGGTATAACTGAAATAGGATGTTGGGTTGAGGGAGAGTATTTTACTTAAAGATGGATGGACTTCAGCATGTTTAAATGTTGATGGGAAGGATTTAGTTGTAAGTTGGAGGATTGAAGGTGTAGTTGAGAGAACTGATAATTTACATCTTTCAGAGACGAACCCACAGGACGAACACATGGAGGAATAGACAGGAGATCTGTCCTCCCAGAACAGGGGTAAAGGGGAGGATGAGACAGGTTCAGGGAAACTTGGTGGTGGGAAGCCAGAAATTCCCACCTGTAGCCTTTTCTTTTTGCCTTTGAAGGAGGAGGCAAAGTTATTCAGTATGAGGAGGAACGTTGTGGTTGTCATGGCAATGGTGATGGCAGTTTTAAGGACAGTGAAGAAGATATGAAATAGTCTCAGCAGAAATTCAGAGAGGCTGTGTTAGTCAATCAGAGACCCTAGCATTTCCATGTACTTCCATCAGTTTGTGTTAATGAAACCATGGCTGCAAATTAAAATTCTTAAGTACACATTTTCTTTGTATCTACTAGTAAAAAAGAAGTTTGGCCCAATTTAACTAGAATCTAAAATAAGAGAGGCCTGCACATGGGGGAAATTTGAATTTTATCAAATGCATTTAAAGAAATTAAGCTTCTTTGGATTTCTACCATGAAAGTTGGTATTAGCAGAAGGAAATACTAAGTGTATCCCCCCTATAGACTAAAGTGTATTTGCAGCCAGATGCTATGGCAGATGGAGAGTGGGTATCTTCAACAGAGTTCCTTTACTTGAAAGAGACTAAACTCAGAGAGATCCAACTTGAAGTGTACCAAGCAAACTAGGAAATTATTGACCTGTAGAGCTAAAACGTCCAGAAATACAGCTGGATCAGGAGCTCAAAGATATTATCTTGGTGCCATTTCTTTCCCATCTCTCAGCTCTGCATATTTCTGCATGGACTTTATTCATAGGCAGGTTCTCCCATTTTCCTGGCAAGATTCTTCCTCACCCCCAACCCTTGCACCCCTTTAGGTTTAGACCCTACTAATTTCAAAGTCCAGCAGAAAATGCTCAAGGACCCAAGAATTCCCACAAAAGTCTTAGGAATGAATTTCAGTGGTTTGGGTATTACTTTGGGGGTTGCATGACAGTGCCCATTCCTGGTCTCAGTGTAGCGTGGGGAATGTGTTTGTAGCTTTTTTGTCCCCACTAAGTCCAAACCCTGCCTTGGAGTCAGAAGTCAGAGTGGAGTGACTTTCTCCCAAACCACCTTGACTAACAGTGAGGGTAGAGAGGATTCGTAAGAATTATCAGGATGCCATTATCAGAAGCAGGACCAGTGGATGTGGTCGTGAAAAAATTTTTTTTCCTTAGACTAGATAAAAGTAAAATTACCCAATATAATTACATTCTCTACAAAGTTTTCTGGTCCAGTGAAATTGTTTTGGTCTCATAGTTTTGGCAGCCCTAACTCATTGGACTTATTATATTTGAAAATATCTATTTTTCCTGGAAATGAATTATTAGCTTCCAAAGACACTATTCATAGATTCTTTTTCCTCATCCTCTTGTGATCTTTGCTTTTCCTCTTTGTGTCCTAATTTTGCCATTGTACAGCAGCTTCTATTTTGGAAACTTGGTAAGAAATAGATTTGTGTGGATATACTGATTTAGTATGAAATTAAAATGAAAAGTCATTTGCATATTAAGAACCTCACTTAATGGGAGGAAAATCAGTGATAATTGCAACCTAAATGTTCTCAGGGAATGAACTTCTGTGGGTTAGTGAGGACATATTATCGTACTAAACTAACATGAAATGTATGTACCCAGTCCCTCAACTTCTCCTGGTACTTCCTTTCTTTGCCTTTATCATGAAAAGTATATTTTTTCTCAGTGATTAAGTGATCTGGTATCATGTCCTATTATTTGGTTGAAATGATGTCCAGTACCCTTGTTTGTGTTATTTCTACAGTCCCATCTTCTGGTCTGTGTTCTGTTTGAAAAGTGTACACCTACCGTTTTGTTTGGTTTTGGATGTTCATGCATTCTTGAGAAAGTGGCAAACTTAGAATCCTATCTAATGATTGCCTTCAGCTCCTCTGAAACCATCATGTTTTCAGCTTTTCATGGAATATTATCAGATATACACTTTATGATAATTTTATCTGTTTATTAAGAAATTAAATATTAATGGCCTTAGAAACAGCAAGGTCTATGTTTAGGTTTGTTTGCTTGCCCGACATGGTTTGGGCTATTGGTTCTTGCAGATACTCAGCCTTCTCTACAAACTTGGTGCCGTGAGGTGCTGTTCCCATGTTGATGGACTGACAGTCACAGATCTCTCTCTCTCCCTTTCTTTAACTTAGTTGGGGTTTCTTTCTTGAAAAATCTTTATATTCCTCTCCTTCCTTCTACACAAAAGAGAAGTTTTAAGATTTCCTCTCCTTGCAGAAAAAAAAAAATGTTTCCTTTGGAAGAATTTTCCTTCAAACTAAAAGGCAGAAAGAACAGTGAAATGTATTTGAAGACAGTGTTCATTCTAAATTTGCATTTCTTCTTCTTCATCTTTTTTAAAAGAAACTCAGCCTTAATTTTTACAACAGAAGCAGTTAAATATTTGTTTTGGAAATGGTGGTTGAATTTTATGTGACAAAGGTACCTGATGACCCCAGCTGCTGTGTGACCCAGTGGGAAAGGTTTCGCTGCTACTGGAGTCTGGTTGTGCCTGGCCCTCACCTGATCCTGATTTGGCCTCATTAATTCAGAATTGACAGCTTTGGAATTTAATATAAATCATTGAGGCTAACCTGGTGTATAACCGTGTACTAGCCATGAATTAACTACTCAAGATTTCATTATTACAAAGGCCAATTTGCAGAGTTGGTAAGATGTTGGATTCTGAACTCGGGACACATGAGTTCTGATCCCTGTCCAGAACATTACTAGCTGTGCAAATAGATCAAGTTTATTAGTTACCCAGAGCGTTGATTTTTTTTTTTTAAGTGTTAAAATAATACTATTATGTTCCTCATTAGGTATGCTGTGGGTTACCACTATCCCTGATTCAAAATGTGACTCTGGTTTACTTTCTACACATTTTTTTCACCATCTGAAATTATCTTGTTCATTTATCTGTTTATTTTTTATTATCTGTCTCCTTCACCAATAAAACATCTTCCCCATAAGAACAAGGTCCTTGTCTATTTTGTTCAGCCCTCTATCTCCCCAGCCTGGAGGAAGGCCTGGTGCATATTACAGGATCGGTAAATATGTATCGAATGAAGGAATGAATGAATAAACCATGCTTAGCACAGAACATAGCACTTCATAGGCACTCAGTTAACACCCATTATGTCTAGAGGCTCTTCTATGTCTAGAAAGTCATCTTTCATCTAGATATGATTTTTTTACTGTACAGATATAAAATCATGGAAACTTAGTTTGAACTTGTAGTGGTTTTGAGATTCCACTTCTCCTACAAACTGTGATTATGTTGAATGCCCTTATTTGTATATTCTTAAACTCATATTAAGCCATGATTTTGCTTCAGTAAAAGAAATACGGGCGAAATCAAGAGATGTGTTCAGTCACAAGCAGTTAGTAGCAGATACAAAATGAGTGTGCAGGTGTCCTGTCTTCTGTCATTCTCCCTACACTGCATATCCATTATAACAGAATAAAGAAAACTAATAATAGTAATGGTGGTTCACTTTTATTTCACTCTTAATATGGGCAATACCATGCTCACAATAACCCCATGAGGTTAGTACCGTGGTAATCCCCATATTTCTGAGGATGAAACTGAAGCTTTAGGAAAGTTATTACCCAAGATCCCACTGTCACTTCTGAGCCCAGCAGTCTCTCTCTGGAGCCTGCCCTCATAACCACAAAGCAGTACTGACCCCAGACTGCCCACTTCCTGTAATTCAGAACTTTCATTAAATCAGACTGACCTTCACAGTCCAATTACTCAGAACCAGGGAGTGCCACTGGAGTGTGATTTTTGAGCTCTTTGAATGGTGCATGTACTTTCTGCCTTGTAAGAGCAATCTTCACAGTGTGCTTCAAGAAGCTGTGTACCCTCAAGGAAGGGAAAACCAGAGAAGCAGCTTGTTAGTTTGAGGGTCAGGCAGAGGCTGTCGTCTGGCATGTGAAATAGAAGCATATTGGCTTTTATTTTCTCCTGAATAGTTTGGTGGTAGTAAATTTTCTTTTATTAAGTTTATTGGGGTGACATTGGTTAATAACATTGCATAAGTTTCAAGAGTACATCATCTGTATATTGCATTGTGTGCTCACCACCCAAAGTCTAGTCTTCCTTTGTCATCATAAATTTGACCCCCTTTACTCTCTTCATCTTTAATTACTATTTCAGTTAACAGAAGAAAGGAAATTTTTAAAATAGTGGAAACAAAAAGCATTGGTACAGTAGACTTTTAATTGTAATAAGGATTTATTTTTGAATCACTAGGGGCCACAGTAAGAACATAATTCAGAACACAAAAAAATTGTAACAGGACCATTGCAAAAATTATACCTGAACAGCAATTTGATCTGTGATAGTAACTCCTGTTCCATGTAGGAGCTGGAAAGGGTCTGGTTTTGGGGACAGGGCAGTGAGTATTGTCTAAACCTCAGTACATAAATTTGAAGAGCTGCTCCGGTTACTGGGATGGCCCAGTAACCTCATCTGGACCCTAACAGTGCCTTTCTTCCCAGGAAACTCCCAAATACTCCACAAATGCATTTTAGTTGTCACTCCTTGTATTCCTGGGGAGTGGTGACAGGTATTCATCTTCTTGTTTTCAATGCAGATATTAAACCAGATTTATATGGCTAACAGTATAGATAGCAAAATATCATATGATTCCAAGTGGCCACTCTCACACCATTGCTGATGCCTACACAGATGCTCAAAATATGGAGTTTGGGGAGAT